CATATATATATATATGTATGCTTAGATGTGTTTGTATATATATATATATATATATATATATGTATAGGGGCAGCACGGTGGCGCAACTGGTAGAGCTGCTGCCTCTCAGCGAGCAGGTCCTTGGTTCAAACCCCGGTCCAGGGGCCTTTCTGGGTGGAGTTTGCATGTTCTCTCCGTGCATGCGTGGGTTTTCTCCGGGTACTCCGGTTTCCTCCCACAGTCCAAAAACATGCATGTTAGTCTGATTGGTAACTCTAAATTGTCCCTAGGTGTGAGTGAGAGAGTGAATGGTTGTTTGTCTCATTTGTCTCTATGTGGCCCTGTGATAGACTTGCGACCCGTCCAGGGTGTACCCCGCCCCTCGTGATTGCTGGACATGGGCACCAGTGACCCCCGTGACCCAAAATGGAATAAACGGGTAAAGATAATGGATGGATGGATGTATAGATATACATATACATATAGGGGCTGAGTTGGGGTAGAGGCATGGCAGCTGACCTGGAACCAAAAAGTTGCGGTTCAACTCCCAGCCATTTCCACATGCCGTGGTGTCTCTGAGCAAGACACTGGATCCCTAATTGTTCCCCGGGCGCTTACATAGCTGCTCACTGCTCCACCTGGGTGTATCTCGTGTGCGATGGGTTAAATACAGAGAGCCAATTCCGTCATTGTATGGAAACATACAGTGACGACACATATAGCACTTATAATTAAAATTGTACATGCATATGCACATACATACACATACATGCATACATATTCACTGATGAGCTAATAATGGCTTGTCTGAGCAGACCCACCTCCAAGTCAGGTTCTGTCATCTTCAAACAGCTTCAGTCTTCAAAATATCAGAACAATTTATGTAAATGCTTGTTTTTTATACCTTAGTGTGTGTGTGACTGAGTCTGTAGTAGTGTGTGATAGAGAAAAAATAGTCCTACGTGGCACCTCATATACTGCCACCACCATTTGCACTTGTAACTTAAAGGGTAAGTATTCCTGACAGTAATGCTTGTCGCCCGCCCCTTTTCATGCCAGAGTTTTAAACTAACATCCCTTCATGCTGAGAAGGAGCATAGCTTATGGTCACTTTTTTCAAAACTTGTACAAGACGTTGTGCGTAATCTCATGTGAGGCCTTGTGTGATCTGTTAGTGCTTGAAGTATGTGTTGAGGATGACTCTCAGTTACTACTACTCCTAAATTTAGGTTCACGTTTTTAAAAAGTGTTCACATATACCTTTAACCATCATTTCATCACAGTGCTCTCGGTCAGTGTGTTCAGAAACAAAAGCTGTTCTCAGTTTGTCCTAATTTGTTGTAAAATGTGCAAGTCATCCAGGCTGCACTTTGTTGTACCACATGGTCAGAACACTTCAGGGCCATTAATGATGCTTCAGCAGCAACTGTAGTGTTGATGCTTCATTTCACTGAAGAGACAGCCAATCAGCGGCTCCAAATTAGATTTACTTTCATTTCTGAATTTCCCTCGGGGCTGTGAGATGCTGTTATCTGACAAACGCAACTTCTCTGTGCGCGGTGCAGAGAGACACACAAATATTACAATCAAACTGCCCTTAGACATGTGAACCGTTTCAAATAAATGTGGGGAAAGTGTTGTAAATTTTTGACGCAACACAAAGGGTGCAGGAGAATTAGTTTGGGCCTTTATTGCATCGTGCTGGACTTATTCGGCTGCTAACTGCGCAGCGAACAGCTCTGATGACAAGCGGCATAATCAAGACACGTTTTCTAATTGGCAGAGCTTCCAGTGATGTTCTTATTTAATGTGTTTGATGTCACTCCAGCTGCAATTTACGGTGGTGTTAGAGCCACACCATAAATCCTGTAATCAGTTTGATGACGGTATGATTGGTGTACACACAGGAGGAGGCAGTAATGTCGGGCTCTCGGGTTCATGAGACTCCCAGGCTTCATATTTTCTCTCAATTCACATCCTATTAGAGATTCTGACCCTCCCCCTC